CTGCAACTTAATCTGCCAATACTATGAGTCTTTACTAGATCCAATGCAGTTCTTGCAAATGAATGGTTTTAGCATACAGATTACATACCAACAAGCACATTTAATGACATAAATTTTATATAAATTGAAGCACATTCTAAAACCAAATTAAAGAGAATTGGAGTAAACATGCTTTACACAGTTTGCAGAATGAGGAAATAGATTCTTTCATTAAGCAAACCCCTTGGTCTTGGTGGTGACAGTAGACCTCTGAAGAACCACTCATTCCAGTGATGAGCAGAGGGAATGATTAATGACTTAAAAAAACCCAACTGGTTTAGTGGGAGCCAAAAACCCCAAATACAAAGGAACTAAGCTTCAGGGTTATACAATTAGTTTTAGTGCAAAATGTTATTATATAGTGATTCTTAACATAACTTTTCTTATGCAAATGTTGAGGGTGATGATTGTTAAATATCAAAACAAGTGAAGACAAAGCCAGATAATGTATTGAAAGCTTTTCAGAGTTGTTACATTACAGTCAAAAATAGAACTTCAAAGACTTTAAAGCTAACAGGAAGTCTCACTTCAAGGGACAACACATTAAAGACTTGTCATAATTCAGGCAAATTGTTTGCACTATTTTCACTGCTAAAAAATAGTTAAGAAGTCTTTAAGTGACAACAGTCTTGTTGAAGTAAGTACACATAACTATCCCTAGAAAAAGATCAGAATCCAAGTCCCCACTTTCTGTTCTGCAGAAAGCCATAAGCCACTCTTGATTCAGAGGATTAGCTCAGGAGATTAAGTCTTTATACTTAAAAAAAAAAAGTGTCTGGTTAAGTCCTCATAGGCCTTAATCATCACCAAGTCACTGCACGAGTTGGTAAAACAATAAGATGATCCAACAGCCCAGCAGCAATCCAACTGCAAGCAGGCAGATCAAGAAACTTGGCAAGCATAGGGAGTACTCTGCATGCATGCCAAAGAACTCAATTCTGAAATGATTTCTGTATATTAATGAACAAAATTTGTGTAGCATGCTTTACCACAAAAAATATTATTTACATGATACATTATCAACCATGAACTAAGTTTCCCAAGTACAAGATTGCAAATAACAAAGTTGCATCATTTACAGAAATGGTAACAAAAATTACAAAGCCTGGAATGAAGGTACTGCAATGCACTCCTGCAATGAAATGTAAGAAAAACTTGATGAGCAGCAAAACTATGAGCTAAACAGCATGGTGGTTTTAAAGTTTGTACTGTATTTATTTACAAAGTTAAATGTTTCATAAATACAGAGACACAAATAGACAGATACTCTTAAAACAGTAAAAAAAATATTCCATTACACTTTGTGGATCCTGGTTTCCAATGAACCCAATGTTAAATATTGCTGTAGTAGATTTTATACTTCACTGCTAATTTTACACTAAACAAACACTGCAAAAGGGAAAATAGACCTTTATGACACAAGAGGAAAAGAAGTAATTCCTGTCCTTTCCATAACGCCTACATTTCCAGAAAACCATGGCCCTGATCCTTCAACTGTACACAATTTTATTTTACTCTCATGAGTAAATCTCATCGATTTTAATAGAAAAGAATTCATATTAAGCAAGGCAAACAAGTACACACATATATTCCTGACTGAGGAAAAATTGGGTCTTTTACGCAGTAATTACTTCAGTAAACACATTATTACTCCTATACAAAGATTTTGCTTACACAAGGCAAAAATGTTACAGAACAAAAAAGCGCACATTAAACATTTCAACTAATATAGTAAAACTTTATTCAAATGATAAGTTTACACAGACTGCCATCAATAAAAACATTAACTTGTTGTAGTTAAATGAGATTGAACTCTGCTGCACATTCTGTATTCCAACTGCTTCAAGCACAGTGAGCTATCAGTCCTCAGGAGGCAGAATCCTGCCTCATTTAAATCATAGAATCATAGAATCGTCTAGGTTGGAAAAGACCTTTAAGATCATCCAGTCCAACCATTAATCTAACACTACCAAGCCCACCTAAACCAATCAAGGGCAGACTAGACTAAACCATATCCCGAAGTGCCACATCTACCCATTTTTTGAACACTTCCAGGGATGGTGACTCCACCACCTCTCTGGGCAGCCTGTTCCAATACTTGACCACCCTTTCCGTAAAGAAATTTTTCCTAATTTCCAATCTAAACCTCCCCTGGCACAGCTTGAGCCCATTTCCTCTCGTCCTATCGCTAGCTACATGGGAGAAGAGACCAACACCCACCTCACTACAACCTCCTTTCAGGTAGTTGTAGAGAGCGATAAGGTCTCCCCTCAGACTCCTCTTCTCCAGGCTAAACAACCCCAGTTCCCTCAACCACTCCTCATAAGACTTGTTCTCCATACCCTTCACCAGCCTTGTTGCCCGTCTCTGAACACGCTCCGGGAATCTTGCCATTGGTTTCAGAGTAGAAGAATGTTTTGGAGTCAGCTTCCTCCCCCTCTCCCCTTTTTTAAAAAGTAAGTCAGACCAGAAAGAAATCCTCCCCATTATGAAGAAATGTGACTAAAAAACAAAAAGAAAATTTATTCTCAAATCTCTTGCAACAATTAGATTCCAACAGAAGGTGAGAATTTTAACATCTTTCTCTTCTATATGCACCCACCAACCCCATTTTGTTTGATTACATATAAACAAAATCATATGCATGAATTTCCTTAAGACTGGAAAAGTATGCACCAGAGCAGTTCAATACACAGAACAAGGTATCACAGGCAGTAGGACTAACCATGCTTAGTTCAGATCACTGAAGCTTGGCTGTGCATACTCTTCTTTTTGAGTAAGAGTTGCCCTTCTCTGGGTATTTCTTTCCTTGACCTGTACCAAGCTATGATTTTGCCCCCCTCTATTTAATTCCATAAAGAATCTCAACTAGGGATACATGCCTTTCAAGTGTGAAAATTGCTGGACTCCAGAAGAGCTCTGCATTTCATGCTTGGGAAGTTGCAAAAGCATGAGGGGAATGCTATCTAATCCTAACTGTTTAGGTACACGAACATGTTGCCAGATGACCCAAATGTCCGGATCTCTCCTAAGGCTGTATTTTTGTGTTGGCAGACAGAATTTCCCTTGAAGGCTAAAAATGAGGCGTATACAGTAGGAAAAAAAACATTTGATTTATGAGAAGCAAAACTGCATTATGTTATGCCAGGTCGTAGTCAGCTCCCTGCAAGCCACAGCAAGGAACTTGGGTAACTTGATTCACTACTGAATTCGGGTATCTAAAATGAAGATAGCATTATTGTGGTTGCTGTGTTTTTTAATTGTTTTCTCAGTGAGAGAACTTCCAGTTTGTTATCAACATAATTCTGAAATAAGAGCAAAACCATAAATCAGCTGCTTGCAAAAGCTTGCAGACCATGACAGAAACACTGAATATTTCACTGGTATCTATTTCCGGATACCTATCTAGTCAACATAAGATGTTATTTTCTTGCACATTTTCTTGCATTAAAAGTATCCTGTGAATATAGAGCCCATAAAGTCTGTGTGACTTGGTATATTTCGAGCAGAATAACCTACATGCCTTGCAGAGGTACCTTGCCTTGGATGCTAATGTTTGACTTTTGTGCTCTTCCCCTACAAATCTTTCTACTGATATAAGTTAGCTTTACAGATTTACCCTAGTTACAGGCTCTACCACCAACCCAAACACAAGGGTATCACAACCTGAAAGCAGATGAAAACTCCAGAACTTGGGGGAAAAAGAGACACTTAACTGTTCATTTAAGCCTTCCAAAAATGCCTTAACAAGAAGAAAGCAGCAACTGAAAAGCATCAAATCAGGCTTGTACCTCCAGAAAACTGTTTGACAATTTTGATCCATACAGATAGTCCTTTACTGAAAAGTTACACTATACGGTATCTGGGTTAAACAGTTGTTCCCACAAAACAGTAGCAAGTTGTAATCATAGGAGGCTTATTTCTTCTTTTCAGTTAAGGAAAGAATTTAAACTTCACTGTCACTGGGTTAAAAGTTACACTATTATCCAACTCCAGAAGGCAACAGCATAAAATCACGGTGCCCAAAGAAACTAACATAAAATATTCCACGGGGCTTCCAAAACCTTGCAAAAAAACCTGAAAAATGAAACCTGTGCTCTCATTTCACCACTAAGTAAGGCCCAAGCCACACACTGGCCCATAAACAGCAACAAAGTATACTTAACAGAAACAGTAAGCCAAATATCTGGATCATCAGAAGAGTCATCAGTTGCACCACTAATTTTGGGGAAGTAACAATAGTATCCAAAACATTCAAATAAACTATAGGAAGTGTTAGAAATCTGCAAACTCTAAGGCAATGAAAAAGTCACAATATCTATGCTTGAGTGGGCTCAAGCGCTACTTTTGCTAATGGCAGAACTCCTACAGTTCATAGTCAGACTTCAATGAATTTAGGAATTCTCCATTAATTTTAACATATGCTAAATGAAAGTTTAAAGCTTTCATTTGAAGATTGCCAGATTTAAATATAACTCAGAACTACACAATGCTTATTGAGTTCAAGAAGCTTATCATAAAAAATCATGTGCAAAAGTTAAGAAACATTTACTGTAAAAAAGATAACCTTAAAAAACTATTGTATCCAGAATTTTCCCTCAAATACTGTAACATTCATCTTTCAGTTGGCACACAGCTGACATTGCAGTAGCACTTTAATGTGCAAGAAATAAATGGAAAGAGACCAATGGGAAAAAAACTGCAATGCTGTCAGCAAACCACCACCACAGAGTAAATGAGTGAGATATCCTAATTTCTCAGTTTTATCTTATGGCACGATTATGAATACAGATAGCAGTAGTAATCAAATATAACAAAGAAATTTCATCATTGCAATACTATTGATTTTTTGCTCATATGCAGGAGCCAAACTCTACCACTTATCTAGTGAGATTTTTGAAGTTGATCATACCCTTTCTAATCATCGCATTTCTAGACTTAAAACAAAAGACGACGCTTACCAGGAATAATCATGAATAAGAGCCTGGGTAGATTTTTACTTTCATCTTTTGAGAGGTCTTTCCAGGGCCCACACTTTAAGACATGGGTAGCCGCTCCACAACAGTAGATAAATTCTTCATGTAATGGGACTGGCTCTTCTGATGCTGACCTCATGTTTGCTGTTAGACAGAATAAGATACTGTTATAACAGATCACCCAATATTTACATAGGTGGCTCTCTGCTATTATACCTTCACATAGAATAATTGTAAAAAAATGCAAACCACCCTCCCCAAACAGCGGTCATCTCCAGTAAACAGAGGCCAAATTCAATATTTAATGTTTGAATAGATTGTAGAAGCTGATACATGTTATTACTATATGAGAGAAGGCATCTTTCAGTTTTTGTCACAATATATGGTAATGGATTGGACAATAAGATCTGTTCTACCTTACAGGCAAATAACTTTAAATGTCTTATTCACACTGTCCACTGAAAAGATTCAGCTGAAACCTATTTGAAGGCAAGCAAAAGAAAAAATACCAAAGAAACAGAACTACTGCATGAATGCCTTCACAAGTCCTGTGCACCTCAACTACAGGAGCACAGCATCACTTAAAAACAGCCACCAAAAAAACCCCCCAAAACAAACAGCCAGAATAAAACCCAAAAGAAAATACCAGAGGCCAAAAGGAACATGCTAATTACTAGACTGCCTTCCAGCACTAGGTGGGGTCATCTAAAATTATGTTCTGTGCAGCAGAACTCCAGAAATTTTCAAAGGATTAAAGGAGGAATCTTTGTCAAAGCTAATCAAGATTTGATCAATGCAGGCAAATATTTATATGCTCACCTTTATAACTTTTCTTAAATTATTTGATTATCTGAATGCCAAATGAACAAGGCATGTTCATCAGTTCATGTATTTATCATACATGAAATCATTAATAGGCTATCACTTTGCAAGTGGCTGATTGACCAAACTCCCCTTAATCTTTTCTTCAGTAAAAAAGCTACTTCATCGACTACTTATGAATTAAAATGTCAACAAGATGAACCATGATATACACAAGCATCTGCCAAAATAACCATTTATCATTTGCAGCTACAGGTGCAGCACCAAATGAAGAGTCAGAAGCCTGCCCTTGTTGGAGTATGATCACACACATGCACCACTTGGAACAGAGCCCAGTGCTTGGTAAGCCCCCTGTTTGAATCAACTTCAAGGGCTATTTAAACCCTACAAAATATTTCCAGTCTTATAAAAACCACATTTCAGGCTTCTGAAGCAACATATCTGGCTTAAACAGAGTTGAAAAACTTGGTTAAATTCTTACAGGAATGACTATGCATTCTTTATTCAATACATGACCATCTATAATGGAAAAGGCTGTGCAACTTACCTGTTTCCAATTTAATTGAATTGTAATTCAAGTCACACACAAGGGGGAAAAAAAAGATAAAGTCTAATGACTAATCTAAAAGATTAGTCTTTAGTGTGTCTACCTAGTACACCCTGAAAGTTGACTGAAATATGTTATGTTATACAGCAGGCAAGAAGTCCCAAGATTACAGGCCAGCAATTCTCAAAAGGAACTCTCAAAGACTTCATGTGCAGCCACTGCAGGAAAAAACTTTTTAGTATGCCTCATCTTGAAATTAACAGACAAAAGTGCAATCACACTTAATGTTATTTAAGAAGATGATCTTTCCCAAGTTCCAAAGCCACTATTTCATGTACAACTTACATAGCAGCAATGCATCAGCACATGGAATTAGGATAAATAATTCAAACAAAATGAGAATATGATCAAATAAGAAGCAACAAAAAAGTAACATTACAATAAAACTAGATATCGTTGTATACTACCATGATCTTTAAAACACCAAAAGCATCTAGTTAAGGATAACATTAGGCCTTTCAAATGTTTTTGCTCAGTGAAAAAGGACCATTCATTTTTGAGTACAAATTCTACTTCCTAATCAGGTTGTGAAGTTTTAGGCACGTAAACCAGAAGCCTAAGATCTACAAAGTTTGCAGGACCATGAGGTGGGGGGCACTACCTTCACAGCCACTGGAAAATTCTCAGTGCTACACAGCTGGAAAGGAACAGATCGAAATGAAGATGTGACCTGAAGATAAACAACAGGCAATGCAGAAGAGACAAATAATGCTTTATTTGAACTAACAAGAAGTACCTTGAAAAAAATCCAGTATAATGCAAGCAGAAAATGCTTCTGGAGGGGAGGGAGAAGTGTTGTTTAATACTTTGATTTAGCACAATTCTCTGGATGAAGCTTTTTTCCCCCACCTTCGTACTTCACCCCCTGAAAATGTTCACTTAATGCCAAAGGAGACATCTCTACTACTTCATTATTCTCGATGTTATTGTCTTTAACTTACAGTGACTGGAACATAAGTAATTCAAGTGAATATTGTCAAACTATAATAAGGTATATTT